GTTGAAGTTCCTCAGGAAAAACTTAATAATTCTCTTACCAAAACTGAAATTGAACAGCTCGGAGGTAGGGAAATGAGTAATATTAGTATGTTTAGGATGTTTTTTCCAGAAGGATACACACCTCCGGATGAAGTCATCCATATAATCGCACGTCCTGTCACCATTGGTAAGTGTCTTCTAATGGTTTATCACTCAAACAAAGATATCTTTTTATAGCTTAAGTCTGCGATCGACAATGGCAGGCGGATCTCAAGTGTTTTTATTTCTTTTTATTTCACTGCATTAGTTTCGTACATCCCTTCTGACGAAGTTAAAATTGAAATTAAAAACAAAGGTTCGTTGCGCTAGAAGCTTAATTCTTTTAAATGATTTTTCGCTCATGTTCACTCTTGTTTTTTAGTTATAAAGGCCTTCCCAAACGTAGATGAATTTTCAATTGACCAGCTTGTTGATGCGCTCGCCTTGATTTGGAACATTGAGACAGGGAAATGTGATTCTCCGGGTCCACAAAATGACCCGTATGTTAAACTGAAGGTGGAACCCTCCTTTTTCAAAGCACGATTACCCCGAGGTATAACCCAAAAAACTCTCACAACAGTTGATCTGTGTCTCCCTTCTTATGAATCTGGAACAGTGAACTATCATAATCCCTTTTATGATGATCAGCAATTCAAAGAAGCAGTTTCTTTTGTGAAAGAAAAGATCGAAAATAATATTGGAGACATAGTTGTGCTTGCCGGAGTTTCAGGTGGTGGAAAAACATCGACAACGTTTGGAATAGCTATGCAACGTTGGTCCATATATATTGAATTTTCTCCTAGCGCAGGAACGTATGATGACCATGTAGGGAGAGAGCTTGATGTAATTATAGATGAACGATCAAAGTTTGAACAGCGTGATCAGCAAAGGCATGTATTTCGTATGCTAGACATGGTAATACTCTCACGCGGACTTTTACTTATAAAGATGCTCGTCGAGAAAAATATTTTGACGCCAAAAGAATGGCTATTTGCACAGCTTCGAATGAATGACTCTAAGATTCGAATGAAATTGGCTCATGAAAATTATAATATTCTTAATATTAATGCACTTATCGAAAGTATCAATGCTTGTCTCAATGTAGAGTCTCTAACCTTAATATTTGATGAGGCGCAAGTTCTATGTAGATCCGAGTATGGAGAATACAAAAGGAGCTCAGTTCCAAACAAAAAATGGAATCTCTTGCAGGCTTACATTGAACATCTTACTCATCTTCCTGTTACCTGTCTTCTTGCCGGTACTTACATGCATATGTCAAGCGGAATTTCTCTTGTTACTAGTGTTGGAAAAAATCGAGGTTTGAAGGATCATATTGTGCTAAAGCTTCCCTTCCTTTCACATAATGATGTCCTGCGGAATCTCAATGCTGTAATTGACCTGACAGATGTTTCACCCAAAATTCTTAACTTCTTGGGATGTCTTCTCAGGGGCCGACCTCGAAACTGTGCATCGTTTGTTAGGCTATTGATATCAGAGCGGATTTCAATTAATAGAACGAAAGATCAAAAAACTCAAGAAATTACTAAACTTATTAAGAAGTGGTATGAAATGATTTGCAAGGACATGGCAGAATATTTGGAAAATGCGTGTAAATATTTGGATGCTAATAATCTCAATCCAGATAGAGCAATTATAGATGTTCTTAGGCTTTGTGTTTTTTATAATCAAAAGTACGAATCAGCCATAAAGCTTCTTCAACACAGCATCATTCCTTGCAAGTCACCAGAATGCATCACTCTTGGATCTAGTGAACTTATTCCTGATATAATTGAAATTAACACATCATTTGAATCTTACATCGTCTCTAGCATAGAACTTTTTCTTAAAAACACAAGAAGAAAAACTTTGGTAGAAGTCTTTATTGATGAAATTATCAGGCTCGATAGCATTCCATCAATTGGTAATGAATTTGATGCAATCTTTATTACAGCAATCATTCAAAAACGTGGGCTTAATGTGCGAGAGGAACTTAACAGGTGGAAAAATGGTCAACAATTTGATCTTCCTTCATGGATTACTCCCACGATGAAATTTGTAACAATTTCAAATCTATCAAAAGCAGTTCCTATAGCCAAATATGTTGATGATGAAACTTATAGCTATTATGCAATCCAACCAGACACCTATTCAGGGTCGGACTTGGTTATTTCTCTTGTGGATGATAAGCAAAACATAGTACTGTTATCAGCAAGCTGTACAGTTTCTGGAAGTCTTATTGAGCGAGACAAGGTTAAAAAGCAGTTAATCAAGTCATGTATGAAATTTCAGTATATGGAATGCCCGAGAAGGAGAAAAAACTTTGAAACTGTAGAATTTTCTCCTTGTAAAAAAAGAACACGTCTCCAAACAGGTCTTGGTGTAATTCCCGATGATACCACGGCCAAAGAGAATGACTCAGAAGAGGACGAGGGTGACTTAAAAGAGGAAAAGTATCAACAAGATTTAAACTTTGATGATGTAGATTATGATTTGGACTACACTAAAAGCATCGAGAAATACCGGATATCTAATGTCTCTGAGCGTGCAGAGAACCATGAGAAAATCAAAACCTCAACTGAGAATCAAAAACATATTTGTGTTTCAGTGGAACTTCCTCGTAGACGTGGTAAAAGACCAGAATTGTTTCGGTTCAATGAATATGGGGATCTTGTGATTATTGTTGATGATCGTAATATGGAGCAT